GTAATGAAAATAGTTTACTAAAAGAAGTTGCTCTTTCTATTTATAATAAATTGCAGGTTTATTGGGAGTATATTGATAAAATTTCACATGTAGCTGCGTTTTTAGATCCACATTATAAGAGATATTGTTTCCCGGGAAAAACAGTTGAGGAAATTCTTAATCCAATTCAGCATAGGCTTCCTGCAACAAATTTAAATATAATACCTGTTCCAAAAATGTCAATATTTGTAACCCGATTAATTCAACATTTTAGTAAATTATTCAACACAAGTAGATGAAGTACAACGTTACTGGAATTTACCTCCGTATGATAATAGTATCGATCCTTTAACATAGTGGAAAATGCACCAAACTGAGTTCCCATTATTATCTAACCTTGCACAAGATTACTTGTTCGTACAAGCAAGCTCAGTTCCGTGTGAGCAGTTGTTTTCAATAGCTGGAATAGTTATTAATAAAACTAGAAATAGATTATTAAGTGAAAGTGCACGGGCATGCTTGTGCTTAAAGAATTGGATGGATGAAGATATTAATATTTTATATAAATAGATTTTAATCTAACAATTGGGTTGTGACCTGAACTTTTTTTTTTTGAATTATATTATTATATAGTTTGGATTTAGAATCAGGATTTTTACTTCATTATTTTATTTGAAATAATAATCGAAAATTCAAACACATTTATTCAATAATGTCAAATTCAAAAACCAATCAAATTTGTTAAATCAAGGCTATAATTTACTAAAACTTCATTGTTTTTATTTTAAAGGTTATGTTTATGCTGACATGAAATAACAGCACGATATCTCTAGAAGATCTGTATAAAAAAAAAAACATAGTCAATCCCATTAAACAAAAAAAATAAATTTCTAACTATATAATATATATCCTTACCGGTAGCTTTTTAATGTTGCCAATTAGCTATCAACTGGTTACTAAACATACGGTAAATTAAAAAAACCTATTTGAATATCAATTTTTCAAATCATTTAAGGGTGAAGCTTTTTTTTTAAAAAAAAAACTGCCTAGTAACATTGCAGAGCTCATATTGTTTTTACGTATAATGATGAAGAGAACTAGTTTTTTTTTAGAAACTTTTGATAATCGGAGAACTATTATATATATTATTGTTACTCTGCAGCTCATGTGATCGACTTGAGTCGACTTTACCCCCTGAGTCGATAAAAGTCGATGCAAGTCAAGCCAAGTCGAGTCGTTGGCATCCCTAGTCAAGCCAAGTCGAGTCGTTAGCATCCCTATACGTAGGTAATAAATTTTATAATTACAGTCAGACCCCCTAAATGCTACCCCCTAAGTGCACATCCTATAAAACACCTCCCTAAATGCACATCTTTTCTTGGGCCCAACTAATATTACATCTATAGATTTTTACCTCCCTAAATGCAATACCTCTCTAAGTGCACGTATGGCTAAATTTTTATATATGGTCCCGTTGCATTGCATTTAGGGAGGTCTGACTGTATTACAAATTTTTAAATAGATGCACAGCCCTAACGGCTCGACAGTTTTGGATAAAATGTTGCAAATACCAGTATTACTCTCTACAAACAATGCTATAGAGTCATTTCTTTTAAAATGAAACTAAATTAAGTCTTACTACTTGACTTTTTTTTAAGAAAAAAGAAAAAAAACATAGCATATATATTGAAAATTTTCATGTCAAATAAAAGAAATAGATTTGCTAGTAGAGACGTAATATTGGTCTTTGCAAAATTTTATCCAAAACTGTTGAGCCATTAGAGTTGTGCATCTATTTAAATTTTGTAATACGTAATTATTATAAAATTTATTGCTTATGTACGTATCGAAAAATTTTCATTAATAAATTTTATTATACGTATAACCACATACGTATAGTTTTGATTTACATAGTGCACTACACACCCCAATGTGACATACCCGTTACATTCACATGAATAGTTAATTAGTATTTTTTTTTAGAATGAAGTAAGTATTAATAACGAGCTAGAGTAAGAAAAATAGTGAGGTAATATATAGTTACGATCAGTAAATCAGTTCATTAGTATGTTAATAATGATAATAGCTGTAATCGATGATGAATAAATATATCCGAAATTCGATTTGGCAAATAATTACATGTTCGAACATTCGAATATTCATCGAATATCCGAATAATTATTCAACGGATCAGACCTCTTATTTTGAATTCTGACCCGTTTGACCCGAGTTAGAGCCCATAGACTAACTTTCTCATCACATGAAATTGAATATTACCTTATGATTGGTCATATGCGCAGCCATGTGACAATCAGCCAACAAATCATACTTGTGAAATTAACTCTACCACTATAATAAAAGAGCGAAAAGAATCAAATATATTGCTTTAAACATATATGTTTTCCTAAAAGCCTATTTATTTATTATACTGAAGTAATATGAGGTCTAACATCTATAGTTTACTGTATTATAATTAACGCTTATTGTGAAAAAATCCATTAAACCATATAAAGTTCGTTGTAATCTCTAAAATTT